CTGGACCCTCCTCTGTGGACTTCAAGGTTCTAGAAGGTGGACCTCTGGTCAGTAGATAAAGTCGCTGCAGACTCACCTTCACCTCGTGGTTCTCTTCTCTTACTTCCTCCTGCCCTTCCACTCTTCCTCCATCTCCTCCTCTGACCTTTCTTATCCTCCGTCTTCTCCTCGAGCTCCGTGAGTCTTCAAACCACATGTTTTATTCAGTTTCTAATTCCTCCTCCTCCTCCGCTGCTGCCCGGCTTCCATTTGCTCCACAGATAAGATTTCCGTCTCCTCTTCTTCTTCCTCCTTCCAGTCCAGCGGTTCATCAGCCGCTGACGTCAGATGTAAACCTCCATTTAGCTGAATGTTCGTCCGCATGCAGGAAAAAGAGCGTCTCAAAGCTGCACCGTGGCTTAGAAAGTTTCAGAACCGTGTTTCTGTGACGTCCAGTTGGGAATTGGCTCATAAACGATGCTTTTCTTGCTAAACGAAGAAAGTGAAAACGTCCTTTTCTCATCCTGGGAGTGCCGTTACATAACCGTGAAGCGCAGCGTCGGCTCTTTTTATTTTAAGAAACACTTTGCAGCGAGATAACGGCGATCGTATATCTGACGAGGACGTGTGCAGCGTCAGCTAAAGCCTCCCAAAGGCCCGAACGGAGGCTCTGGTTCTGTTTGTTGTGGAGATAATCAGCTGCAGTCGACTGCACGACGTTTAATTAGAAATAGAAGCGAACGAAAACTCTACTGATTGATTTAAGCTCGTTTAATTTGAGGTTAAATTAAAAATAACCCCCAAAATCTCTGTTGTTTGTGGAGATAATCAGCTGCACGTCTTTTAATTTAAAGTAGAAGCTCGTTAAATCCGTTCATATAATAATAAATGAAGCTCTAGTACATCTGAATGCAGTTTAATCTGATCGAACATAGAACATGTAAACATTAACACCTTTGTTAAGGTTTTTTTTTTTTAAATGACGACAGAAAAACAGACATTTATCTACAAACTTTAGCTTGTTTTGAAGAATGAAACTCTACTGATTGATTTCAGCTCGTTTAATTTAAGGTAAAATTAAAATAACCCCAAAAAATCTCTTATTGCAGCTCCACAAACTTCCAAATATCAACCAAATATTTCATGTTTCTGAAATCCGGGAACAAGCCAAACGAACCAATCAGCATCCTTCAACAACCTGGAGTGACAGCTCTCTCAGCCAATCAGAGGAGAGCTTCTTTACACACATGTACACAGCAGTTTATAAACTGTTCATGCGTCAAAAAACACAAGATTTAGCGACAATAAATGTGTAAATCTTAATCTGCATATGAAAAATTAACTTTTTTATATATTTAATGACTATTTTTCAGTGTCATTAATGAGATTCGTCGTCATTTTTCGTTAATTTTGCACAGATTTGTGTGTGAAATATCTCAGAGCCACTTCTGTCCATTAGGATGAAACCTGGCAGAGAAACTGAGGAGAATTTGAGACAATAATCCTGTAAATTTCAGCCTGATCGTCGGTTTTATGACGGATTTAAAGCATTTTTAAACGACGCCAAAGAGAAAACCATTTATTCGTCTTCCCTCTAAAACTGTTTTTTTACTCCGTTATCGTCTCTCGTGCATGAAAACATGAATCAGATTCATAAAAAACTGATGAGAAGCTCGTGAGATGATTCACCAGAGCGAAATATAAAATGCGTGTTTTAAAGTCCATTAGCGAGACTCCGGCTTCCTTCAAGCTCTCCAGGTGCCAATTATCCCTCTGGGCTCCGTCTGCCTTCATCAATAAAGCCGCAAATACACGAGTCGGGCTCGTCTGAATGATGACGGAAGGTCGTGAGTGTAACACAGACGGATATAGTTCATGTCTGAAAGGTGCATGAAGGAGCTGCTGAGATCCGTCTGGTCGCTGCTCTGGAGCTCTTTGAACATTGTGCTACCAAAGGACGACCCTGAGGAGAAGTCCTGGGAAGTCATGTTTAGGGGAAAAATGTTCATATGTGCACAATAGGGTCATTCAGGTTGTTTGACCATCTCAGCATCTCCTTGAATCTGACATCCGCCCAATTTTTTTTAGCTGAAATTCCAACATTTTCATCATTTTTTACTCAATATTAATCTCGCAAAATCGAGTGAGATGCCACTTCCAGACGTCCACGTCTCCTCAAGTATACGTCCTGGAGTCTCCACATGTTCAGGAGATGTTCAGGAGTTTCTGGTGACCGGAGAGAACGCAGCAAGTTCTGGAAATCAAGACTCAGTTCTTTGCTTCAGAGCTTCCAAAATCAGGATTTGTTAAAACAAATCGCTAATGAAGTGACATCGACTTCATCATCGACGACTTCAGATGTTCCAGAAACCCAACATTCACGTAGAAACTGGTTTCATTCTGCTCTGAACGCGACGACAGCAGCTCTGAGTTCAGTTTGATTCTGGAACCTTCAACAAAAACCCTCAACTGAACAGTTTCTTGTTGAGTTCAGTCGACTTCATGTGAAAATATGTTCAACCATCAAAGGAGGGTCATCCGGTGACCATCTCAGAATCTGCTGAGACTCTGTAGGAACGATCTTCAGCATCTGAACCTGACATCTGACCATTCTGTAGCTGAAATTCCAACATTTTCATCATTTTTTACTCAGTGGAAATTTCCAATAAAGCGTTGTAAATCGAGTGAGATGCCACTTCCAGACGTCCACATCTCCTGAAGTATACGTCCTGGAGTCTCCACATGTTCAGGAGATGTTCAGGAGTTTCTAGTGAACGGAGAGAACGCAGCAAGTTCTGGAAATCAAGACTCAGTTCTTTGCTTCAGAGCTTCCAAAATCAGGATTTGTTCAAAAATCTCAAATAAAGGGGATTTTCAACCAAGTAGATAAAATATATCTTTAATAAATCGGATCTATTTGATCAAAGTTATTGTGAGAACAATATCTGGATGACATCACTGATGCTTAGAAAGCTTCCATGTGTTTGTAGAAATGGGAGTTATGGCCGATCAGAGTTGATAAAACAGTAGATGGACGTGTTGACTCACGGGCAGGCTGATGGAGTTTAAGAGATGGAAGGATCATCTACTGGTGAGCCAAGTTTCAACATCCTTCCATGCCCTCGCCACAACTTCCTGTTTAATAACACCAGTCAGGAGCAGAACGGTTTTATCATGAAGACAACATGAAGGATGTTGAAACTTGGCCACCAGTAGATGATCCTTCCATCTCCTAAACTCCATCATCCTACCCATGATTGAAGATGTCCATCTACTATTTTATCAGCTCTGACCGGCCATAGCTCCCATTCCTACTAATTTATTAATTTCCCGTTTAACCATTTCAAACTGAATTCACCTTTTAATGCCCAAATCTGAGCCGACTCACTGGACCGAACCACTAAAACTTCATGTTTCTGTTCAGTAGTGCAAGTAAATACCTATGATTTGACATCCTAGTCAATTTATTCTGGTGTTTTTTTTTTGTAAATCAGTGAATGTAAATATTCACAGATGATAATAATGATTCTATTTTAGCATTAATATATCATTTGGGTTAAAGAGCTTCTACATGCAGAAACCAGTGCTGTCGATTTAGGGCAGCTGTGGCTTAAACCTGACGTCGGGTTCTGGTCCAATACTTTTATTAAGCGCTGTATTTTTAATCGGCTGCATAATTAATGGCAGTTAATCTTTAACATCCCCACAAGCGGGGATGAGAAACACCCCTTAAAGCTCTGCTGTTCAGCGTCTGATGATGTTTGCAGCCTCGGTTCCCTCAGGGAGCTCCAGCAATAAAGGCCCGGTGGTGGTTCTGCTCTAATGGATCATAACAGGAACTAAACGTGAGCCAGAGAGACACGAAGGCGAGTTGTTTTTTGTTTTTTTTCCAGTCCAGAGACTCTCCCGGGAAGCAGCGCCTCATCCGACGGAAAGCGGAGCAGGGAGGAGGGACGATGACGTGGTTTGCTTTCATCACCGTCCTCCTCCCTCCCTCCCTCCCTCTCCTGCGTGACGTCGCTTCGTTTTTGCTTTTCATCACCATCCCTCCTCCTCCTCCTCCTCCTCCTCCTCCTCCTCGCCTCTCTGAGCGAGCGAGGCAGCGTTAATAATGGCGTCTTGTTTTTCCTCCCCTGCTCCGCTTGCTGCTGCCGCCGCCGCCACCGTCGCCGCTGCTGAAAATGGCAGGATTACTACAAGTCGGGGATAATCCGCTGCCCTGACGGCGTCTCCATTCCCGAGCTGAGGGAGGCATGTGACTACCTCTGCATCTCCTTCAACTACAGCACCATCAAGTGCAGAGACCTGAGTGAGTACCGAGAGTCTGAGCCGCCGCTTCGCTCATGTAGCTGCTGTGTCGGCCAGAGTTGGGTGAGTGTCTGCTGCTGCACGGCTGCTGACTTTAATTAGAAATGTGAGCGTGTAGTCGGGGATGTGCTGCTGACAGGTAGCTGCAGGTTGAATCCGACGCACCTGCTGTCATATTTGGGTTGTTGTTGTTGTTGTTGTGCACTTGTTTGTGTACCAGAGTGTGTGGGAGGAGCTGCTGCTGCTCGATGCTCGACGCTCGGCTCTAAGTAGGTCATGATTAGCTGTGAGAATTAAAGCCGGTTATGCATGCAGGAGAATGAGCGAGCAAAGCAGGCAGGTCAGCGTCCCCCACAGCGCTGCGCTATTTATGCTATTTAAGTTTTAGCATCTGGTTTAAATCAGGCGTCTGTGTTTTAGGAGTTTGCGTCCATTATTATTGTTGTGATGCCCCCGTTTCAGCAGGAATATTTAGGTCACCAGAAATTTCCACGGCGGAGCAAAATTACTCGTTTTACAGCTAAACCTTGTAAAGAGACGAAACAAACGGGACTAACCGGAGCCGGTTTCTCTTTATGTGCCTGTAAAAGCGTCGCTAGTTGTGTTAATAATTACCGTCTGACATGTTACGAGCTGCGTTTACGTACGATTAAGTAGAATTAGAAGTCCTGTTGTTGCACAGTGTGTGATGAAGTTAAGCAGAAATCCTGAGAACCTTTATTAAAAAGTACCGTAGAAAATGAGCACATGATATCTAACATATGAACAGTCGTATGTAAGATTGAATAAACTTTATTATTCTCTCTCACAGCAGCTGGATGGAGATGAAGGAAGCAGGACAAGAACTGCAAAAACAGAATAAGGCTAAAACATATTAAAGACGAGGCAGAATGAATTTACATGTGGATATAATCTGGTGATTTAAAGTGCTTCTATGAAAATAGTGGGATATTTTATTTGTTTGCTGTTGTATTAACTATACAAACAGTAGTGACACTGACGCTGCACATTTCTGAACATGTATAAAGAAGTAATGGATTGAAGTAGTGAGAAAAGTGGCGATATCGTCGAGCAAACTTTTAAAATGTCGTAAATAAATTGAACTGCTTCGGAGCGAATAACCTGGTGTCACCAGAAGGTGGCGCTGTAGGCTGCGTTAGCTTTAATAAGAGTAGAAGAAGATATAAAATGAAATAAAAGTCTTTGCCAAGGGGCTGAAACAAACCCTAAAGAAGAAGAAGAAGAAGCAAGCCAAAGCTCCATACCTTCACACAACACAGCCTGCAGTACTTCCCGGTACACAGCGCGGTAAATATAGCGCGCTAAAAATACCAGGATGTCCTGCTACGTACGGTTATACTTAGCAGTTTCTAAGCCAGCAGGATTTTTCTGGACATTCTGACCCACAAAAGTCTGCAGCAGCAAGAAATACGTCGGTGTTTTCGTGCAAACAGGCTTTAAGCTCGCAGACGGACGGATGGCGGCAGATTACAGGCTGAAGGTAAAACGTTAAGGCGCAGTATTGTGACGAAGCAGTTTGTTGTGTAACACTGCATTAACCAGCGTGTGCTGTAGAGAATGCTTAAAAAGATAAAGAGTGTGCAGCCCATTTGTTTACCAGTTGTTAAAAAATACAAAATTAGAGAAGAAGATATGAACGAAACGTCGTCCAACTGGAGAGACACATGTAGAAAAGTCTTTAGGAATTGTTGTTAATGAAAAACATATTTGCTGCCACCTCAAGGCAAAGACAACGAAAGAAACTGCTGGTCAGACCTAAATGATAGCTACTTCTAAATTAGGGATGTTAACGCGGAAGAAGAAGGTCGTGCATGTCAGAAACTGTCGTAGATCAGCTGTCGTACCAAATAGCTCAACTAGGGGTGTCAAAAAATAGTGATTAATTGAAGTGAAGAAGGGGGGAAAAAAAAGGTCGTACATAACACTAAATGCTGCAATTTAATATTTTTTTTCTAAAAATAGATCCAATGAATCCAACAGTCCGAACATCTGTAGATAAAATTAGCAACCAGGTAGTAAATATACGTTGCATTCACAGGATGCTTATGGCGGTTTGTTTTAGGCACGAAAACAACTTAAATGTATGAAAGGAAAAAACATGGCTGATGGAAATATATCAGCGGATGAAACAGAAAAAGAAGAAGGTCATACATGTTAGTAAATCTATCATAGACCAGCTGTAGTACCTGGTTGTTCCACCAGGTGGAGCCTCCAGTATTGGTTTGAAATGTTAGTGTTTTATCAACTAAGACCATGATGATATTTTTAGACTTACTTTTAGCCTCCTGGTTCTTAGACTTAATAAACTAATGTGGTTGGTCACTGAGGAGCAAGGCCTGGACTTTTTGACGCCTGTTTGTGGTTCAACTTTTAGCGATTGTTTGGTTCATTTTGTTGTTATCTCGTGGACATTTTGGATTGTTTTGATTGACTTTTCAACAATAAATGTTGGTTTGAAATGGTAATACTTCATTGCAAATTGATTATTTGTCGTTAAATATATATTAACCAGAAGAAGAAGGTCGGGCATGTCAGTAAACATATCATAGACCAGCTGTAGTACCTGGTTGTTCCACCAGGTGGAGCCTCTCATTAATCCTGTAGCGACCAGAGGAGGCGTCACTCAGACTACAGTTCATGTATATAATCATATATAATAATAAAATTAGCTCGATAACTTCAGGATTGTAGGTCTCTTTCTCCATTTCAACATATTCAGATTTTAGATTTAAATTGTTTTTAGGTTATTTTGCTTTTGTGGCCATTTTGGGACCTTTTTTTTTTTTTTGAGTCTTTGGCAGCGGTGGGAAGTACATTTACTCGAGTACTGTACTTAAATTTAGAGGTATATGCATGTTCTACATCTGCACTACATGTCAGAGGGAAGAATTTGTGTGTGACACAGTCGTACTTTATTACTTCAGTATGGTTGGCGGTGTTCCTTCTTACTTCTCTTTAGCTCACTTATTTCTATTCATAGTAATTTTTTGTGCTTACACCTTACACTACAATTAATTGTCTGTTTTATCGTACTGTATCTGATATCTCACGTGGCTTTCTCCCGTCTGGTCAGGCGCCCTGATGCACGAGCTGTCCAACGACGGCGCCCGGCGGCAGTTCGAGTGCTACCTGGAGGAGATGGTTCTGCCGCTGATGGTGGCGAGCGCTCAGAGCGGCGAGCGGGAATGTCACGTGGTGGTCCTGACCGACGACGACGTGGTGGACTGGGACGAGGAGTACCCCCCTCAGATGGGCGAGGAGTATTCTCAGAGTAAGATACCGCTCAGGCTAACATTTGCTGACGGCGTTAGCGCCTCGTAGCTGGTGAGAGTAATCTGACGGAGCTCCAGAAACCAGGTTGAGTTTCTGTTTGAGGCAGCTGCTGTTCACTTCGCACATTTCTGATCAGAGGGATCAACTATGAAGCGAGTTAGACATAGTCAGGCTTTCTTTGTGTAAATCGGCTCGACAAAAACCATGGAGATCTAGCTCCGCCTCATCAGTTACCATGGAGATCTAGCTCCGCCTCATCAGGTACCATGGAGATCTAGCTCAGTTACCATGGAGAT